TGTTCACACATTTCCTCTGCTCCCTAAATCCCTGGCTGTATTACCAAGAGTCACTATCTTTAGTTCAGGAGAGGGACATAAGCAAGAAAGGCAGAGTCACTTACAACTCGCAGGATAACTCTGGCACCTGAACTAATCAATGCGGCAGCACCTGCGCTGCTTTCATGTACACTCCTACAGTGAGGTTGAGGTTATTCTGATTGGATCTAAAACTATTATTTTGAAGGCCTGAATAACTTGGTGGACTGAGGTGGCAGTCCATAGCTGTGACGCCGGCCCTGCCATAAAATGGCTGCGATCAGAGCGATATGAGAGATAGACATCAAAGGTCACAAATAAACCCTGTCTATGGTGACAACAACTGCACTTGACCATTCTATTTTTTTTTAGTAAGGGAAGGCATCTCACCTTGAGTTTTGGCAAGAGAGACAGCCTTTGTTAATTTTAAATGCATTTGGAAACTAGTAATTAAGTCCCCCCCCCCAATGGACTGGGAAATTGACATGCTCTGGAGAGCCACTGAGTAATTATATTTGTAAAGAGCAGTGATACAAGATACTCCCCTCTGACTGGGACTCATTACACATCATTAGCGCATTACAGACCACACACACACACACATTCACACAACTTACACACACACACAATACCTGTCTCACACACACACACAGATCAATGAACACACACTGTTTCTCTTTGGTAAACAAACTCTGCTCTTCGCGCTGACCCGACTGGAAAGTCCTGCGCGGACAGCGTAAAACTCTATTCTGCATATCTCTTCTGGTGTTACTCATACTGCGGTGGGTCAATAAGTAATTAAAGATTCAATCTGAAATGAATTCTCATTCATCTAAATAGTGAAAGGTTCAGATATGAAAGTTTCCAAATGGGGCCCCAGGAGGATTGTGGGCCACCCTTTGAAGCAATAATTACCATTACAGCAGCGTAGGGCATAAAGCTGCAGGGGTATGATAGAGCACAGCTAGAAACGTAGTGGACTCCTTTAATTGGAACTGGAGTGGCAGCGACTACAACTCTCTGCCATGTTACCTCTTCTTCATACAGTATTTCTCCTCTCTCTGCTTCTTTTTTCTCTCTGCGAGTGTTTGTGTTTCACTGTAGAATCATAAGACACCATGCATATATTATATAACCACAATGGAATCCACTGCAGCCCGTCTTTCGGAAAACACCAAACAAATGCTAAATCTATGTTTCATGACGCACTGAGCGCCATCTTTCAATATCTTTGCTCCGTTGAAAAGCTGGAAGAAAAGGTCTTGCTGCCAAAATGGTGGAAGGGGAATGAAATGAATGCAATAGATACATAAAACATTCATCGCTGACATTTACCAAGGTTTTGGCGCTGTCCAATTTGTTGAAATTTGCTTGCTGAATTTTTTTTTTCATACTTCACATTAAAAATCCCCTCAGCACAGATTTGTTTGTGAGGGCTGTTGTTGCCCAACAGTCTGGACCTATTGTTTCTGTGAGAAGAGTTACTATTCACATTGTCGTGTGTATTCCAAAGGTGTTTACTGCATTATTAATGCCATATTCAGATTGCCCAGGGACAGTGGGAGAGCTATATTAGTGTCAGAAAGCGTAGTTTGTTGCCTTGTCTGCTTTCACTTTAAACTCATTATCTTGTCTAATTCTCTCTGCCGCCATTATTCCCTCATCCCTTTAAGCAGCCTAATTAAAAGAGCTTTCATTTGTTCATTAATATTCATTTATTTATTTATTTACTCTGCGTCGCTACAAGAAACTGCCAGAGTGGAATCTAAATGACGAGTTTCTTCTTCTTCTATAAAATGGAAGATGTCCTGCTGCACAGTACTTGAGTGGACGCCATAGTAAGATCTGGAGTATTTGCTCTCATCTATCTGTCGTAAGTCCTGATGTTTCACTGCAAGCTTTCAACTGAGTGTGCAGTGGCTAATGTCCAATACAAACCGCTTATCTACTCCCCTTAATGCTGTCTAGACTAGATTAGTGCTGAAACTCTTAGCGGCACCCGTATTCAATAAAACACTGCAAACACAAATAAAATGAAGACATGTAATTATGATTCCTCATGTTCTGAGTATTCACTGTTTATGACTGAAAATCTCCAGACAGATTAGTGTTGATTGGCCCATCACGGTCTTATTTCTCTCTGGCCTTGGTTTTATTTGGTTTATGTGAGTGCGTCTGTAATAACAGTTTAAAGCCGTACCATGGGGAGATTATCAGACCATGCTTCAGCGATGGACATTATCGCTCAACTACATGCATCACTTCTTCTCTGCTCATCTCTCCGAATGGCTGCTGGGGAACTCACCAAGAGAGCTGCTTTGTGAACTGTACGTATGTGTGTGTGTCTGTGCATGTTTTCGAGTGTGTGCGTGTTTGTGCTAATCCACATCTGAATGTACGTGTCCAAAGATTATTTTTTGCTTGGTCCTACTGCTCAATGTGTGCTATTAGCATGTATGTGAGCATGCACATGCTCCGAGTTCTCGCATGTGGTGTTTGAGGGTGTGTGTGCATGCATGTAGAATGACATTTAGCGAAATGTGGCAGCGAGAAAAGAAACATCTGACTCATAATTGAAGTGCCATGAAAGAAATATGATCATGAATCTGTGTTGGGTTTACGTGATCAGCGTTAAACCAGCGGCAGCAGCTCGAGGAAGCGAGTGCTCCCAACTACCTTACCACCCGGAAGGCTGATTACAACACTCAAAATGATATTCCACAAAAAATGACAGAGAAAAACACAGCGCATTCAAGGCGAGCATTCCTGATGACAAAATCGATAGGCCGTAGCGCTCTCATCTCCATCAAAAAGAGAGTCTCAAGATGAATGAGTGATTCAACCACACCAGTAATTTCAATGTCCTGGAGGATAAGGAGGCAGCAGTCCTCAGTCACTTTCCACCTCTTTGTGACACGTGGAGCTCTCTCAACAGCAAAGCGAGGCAGAACGCTCCTTTAAGGATAAGGCTGGTCATATTGATATTTTTCTTGTTGTCAACATATGCCATGAAAGTACCAACGTCAAAGCCTGATATATGTTAGTGTCCCTTATATGTTTTCCTTTTGACTCTATTTGTGCCACTTTGCCAGAGTTTGTGTATTTCTCAGCTTTAAAAGTTTAAAAAATAGTAATTTTGAACTCTTTAAACATTTTTATGAGAATACATTTAAGAGGCCTGAACAAGTTAAAAAACTCAATATACAACAATTTAAATAAAATAGTTTAGAAAGACTGGGAGCATCCACATTTAGCATATTCTTTCTCTCTTCTTCTTTTATTTTCTTGTTTATCATCCTGTGCACATTGAGATTCATGAAGCGACCTATACATCCCAGGCTGGGACTATTGATGTTGTTATATATTCAGATTCACTTAAGTACAAATAGCATATTTATAGTAATTGTGAGGGAATAATTCTCCTGGACTCCTAAGATATCTAACCTTTTTGCCCGTTGACGTTTATGACCAACCCTGACGTCTGTTATCTGTCTTAAGGAATGGGAGGCCTCAGCTTATGCTGATATTCCCAGTTTATGACCGGTCAACTCTCGGTCACAGATAGTTTATGACTGTGAGAACGCTGGCTTCTAGCCTAAGCTCCACAGACAAGTTATTCAGTGTCTCCAGATGTTAGGGCTATCTCCAGTGTTCTCAGATGTTTACGTTATCTCCCCCAATATGTTGATTAACTCACTGTAATAGTTAAAAGAGCTATCGAGAGAGAGAGGCGCTTCAGAATTGATGTGGCAACTCTACCCGTGCAGTCAGAACCTCTGGCTGCTGTGACTTGTGATATGAACCCTCCGGCCGTATACTTGTAATAAACCACCAGTGTTTGACATCAAAGCTCCAACTCTCCTCGTGTCTCTCTGAGTCCTGACTCTCCATTGCTGCAGAAGTTTCCCTTACAGTAATAATGACTTCTTACATGTTCTAGTACACATAGACTGGATCATGCTAGCTAATGTTAGCACACTTGAGATAAAGCTTTGAAGACAGCAACGAGTTGGTTCCATATTACTCTATACGTCGCTTGTGTTAAACTACATTTGTTATAAATTGCTTCAACCAAACGATTATCCACAGTTTGAGGAATTATTTGAAATTAAAGCTGAAAAATGAAATGATATATTTTTCAAATGAACGATTAACATCTTTAGTTACAACCAACAGGTTTTGGGTTGTGAGCCACAGACAGCGAAGAGCACAGATGATTCATTTTAGTTTAGGTTATTTCATGGGATTCGTTGACCAAAGGAAACATTAAAAAAAGTACTCTTTTCCTTATCCTTTATGTAAACAGCGGCCTGCAAAAGACCAAATCTTACAGGCAATATATTCCAAAAAGGGACATTTGATTTGATATGCAAAGTGTGTTGTAGCCGGTACATGACACATGTAAATATATAGAAATGTGAGGAGAGAAATCCGCTGTGTCAGAGAGACGGATGGAAAAGGTGCAAAGCTTGGGAAGTGTGCTAACAAACTCCATTTTGTGTAGCTGCAGCTGTTTCCATGGAGCTCTCTCTCTCTTTCTCACACACACACACACTCACAAGTGTCTGAAAGAGGATTCAGCTGTGTGAGTCAATCTGCAACCAAATGCAACTCGGAGAGAACCCCTCGCTCTCTAACAGACTCTCCTCCTCTCATCTATCTCTCCGGCATCACGCCCATCTCATCATTTTTTTCAACCTCATTACAATAATTTCTTAATTTATTCTTTTACCCCAGTCACAACAACAAACCCACATTCAGCACACTCAATTACTGTGATTTTGATACACGAGCACCGCATCAACAAGAAGCACAGGAACCAGTCGATGCCTTTAAGTGATGTGCTCCTTCCCTGCTCTTATTTGGAGTGTGTGTGGCAATCAGCAGTGCTCATTACACCTAGCTGCCCTATAAAGATGGCCCAGAAAAATGTCCTTGAGGGAGAAGGTGAAGTGAAAAAAGAAGAAAGGAAAGCTGCTTACCGAGGACTCCGACGCGGTAGTTGATAGTGATAACGATGACATTTCCGTAGCTGGCCAGGACGCTCCCATCGATCATGTTCCCCGTCCCCTCCATGTAGGATCCTCCGTGAATGTAGACCATCACAGGCTTGGCCCCAGTGTCTCGGATGTCTGCAAGAGCGGCCATCATTAACACATTCACAATGTCGTCCACCCACTCCGATCAAGGGTCGGCTCAGATTCAGAAACAGCAGATACAGTGCATGGTGGCCACAAACAGACAAGCTGACGGTCACCTCTCAGATACCAGCTGTAAGGATACAGTCTGCTGGCTTACTAAAGCAACGGAAGGCAATAGTCTTTCATATCTGCTCTATGAGAAACAAATTAATGCCCACTCATTACGATGCGTTCTACTCTATTATAGTAATTGGCCGTTTCAGCTGAAAATGCGGCTTGTCATTTAGCATATCAAGTATTTATCCTATTTAAACCAAACTATTAGGGTTATATTTGGTTTTGTGTTGCCTTCCAGGGGGCAGACCCACTTTCCGATATAGACACACAGGAAGCCATTAGGGAGAATAAAGAGAGAGGTACGCTGACACATCTTCTAACCAGGGAGAAGGCTAATCTGGCTTGACAGTGACAGGGAAAACGCACCGGCTAATTACACAATGCGCCTCTTTTTTACACAGGCCTATCTCTGTGCAACAATTTATTTGCACGGCCCTGCTTGGCATCGCAGGCAGTTACATTTGTGCTTCAGTTTTTGCTAAAGTGTTGTTTATTCTATACCCAAAGCAGGGCTTGATACCCAGCTGGAGCGACACTCCAGCCAGATAAAGCACATCCAGAGGTATAGGGGAAGAAAAAAGCCTCTGTTTGAGGAATTGACTGAATTACTGGCTGGCTAGCTAGAGCTGGAAGACAAGAAACTCTCTCTCATTTTCACTCCTGCTCCCCCCCGCATTCTGTGTAGCTTCTCGCCTTCCCCTCCCTTACTTTGTATCGCTTTCACTCACAGACTCTCCCCTGTCTCTCCCCCGCCTTCCCTCCATCTCTGTCCAACTCCCTGCCTCTCTCTTTTTTCCCCCCTAAGCTCTGAGAGTGGTGAGAAGGGAAGAGATGGGAGGGCAAAGAGTGAGGAAGACAGAGAGAGAGATAGAGAGGGAGGGAGAAAAACAGAGCGGAAGGAAGGAAGGAAGGAAGAAAAAATAAAAAGGAAAGAAAATAATAAAGCTATAAAACAGAAACAGAGGGGAAAAAAAGAAAGTGGGAGCAATGGGCTCAGATTTAAAAGGTCGGTATTGTATTCTGGTTGCTATGGCGACTGAGAGCCAAAATTAAAAATCCTCAAGAACAGCTAATCGCCGACCACATCCTGCATAGCCCAATCTGCATCCATCTGCAGCAGCGCTCGTCGTTATGCACCCCATCACATTAGCATGCCGAACACCAAGGACAACTACTGAAATGCATTTTGTAGAGAGACAGCTTTTCTGTACCCCCTATAGCAGAGCTCATCCTTGATTCACATGTTTTTCTTTCTCTTCCCGTTATTCCCTTGGTTATTCATGGCCCCGTTACGTTTAAAAGCAAAGCAATAACTTGTATATGATGTGCCCTTATTTATGGCTTTCTTTATCTTGCTGGTATCTGAGAAGGCTACACAGTGAAATGTGATTTATAGCTGACACTTCTCTATGCACACACTTATCTTAGACAAGAGGAGGGGATGCATGGGGTGAGGAAGCATGATAGGTACAGTCAGAGAGGGAGAAATACAGCATATCCTACACAAGCTACTTAAACAAATGGGCCACAGATACAAGAGAATGGCATAGAGGGTGACGGAACAGGGGGCAGAAATAAGAAAAAGAGATTAGTCATGTCAATGTTATCAGTCACCTCTTTTGTTGATTCATATCGGGTCGCCATGACAACAGTTAAATCCCTTTGAGTGAGCGATACAAGACACTGAACTTGGTCTAATCTATTTTTTGGCTTGATCTGATGTGGGGGGCGTCACACTGATGTGATATATAGTTATCACTGTGTCAGAGGGAAATATACAGATCTTAATTTGACTCCAGTTAAAAGTGAGGAATAATAATCCTTTCCAGCCACATGCGGGCTGCAGCACCACATGACATGGAGGTAATGAGGTGAGTTGCTCTTCTTAACCAATCAGATCTGAGCTTTATCGGCTGCAGCGGACGGCTTCATCTGGTGTAACAGGTAACTAAGTGGCTACCTCGAAAAGCTGCCTCCGTATCCACTAACGTCTTCGAGGCAAACACATAATTACATCGATACACATATTCACAGCATCAAACAGTAGCACATTGCTTTGTGCTAGAAAAAGAAACAGAGGTTCATTAATGCACAGACTTGAATATTTACAATACATATCGCATGCACAACGAGTTGGAAAATAAAAATAAATAAATAAAAATACACTCATGTTTTGGGGATGAACAAAGAAATCTATACGTGACAGAAATGCAGATGAAAGCTGACGTTCAATGAAGAGTGAGCTGGACAGAACAATTATTCATGTAACGCATCATTTGCTCAGATATTCCTCTCAATCACATCATGCAACACCAACTATACGGTGACACACAGTACACTCCCAGCACATTTTATACGAACAGCATTGTAACACAGTAGAGAGAAATAAATACATAAATAGAAAACGCCAGTTCACTGCACCGGCTTAAGGGTGGGGGACGGTCAACATATGTGACACAGGGCATGAGTTTCAACAGGGCCTGAGCACCACCTTTCATAGGTGCCCCACCACAGTGGCTCTGGACTGATTGGAGTGTCAGTGGGAGGCATAACTCAGGCCTGAGCCGATCCTCTAAGTGTTGCTGCTGCAAGTGTAACCCACCAGGAGGGCTGGGAGCACTCCTTCCTTCCTCCTCCATATCCTTATTTCCTCTTCCCCTCACTGTACCTCAACCTTTTTGTCCTTTGCCTCACACTCCACTGAAAACAGTCAGTCATATATCTGACGTTAAGCGGCCCCAGAACCGGCCTTGACGCTCCAGAGTGGGACGGGACAAAGGCGAGTGGAGATAACTGTCGGTGGCATTCACTGTGTCAACACTTGGTGAAACATGGTGGCTGTCAGCGGCTATCAGTGAGGTTTGAGGTGGGAGGGGTGGAGGACGGTGACAATGTCCTGATGTGGCAGGGACATGACATGCACCCTACTGTAGTGCTCTTGTCATGCCAAGCTTCACGCTTCACTCACGACAAGTCCATTACTGGAAATGTTCACATTTGAGAAGCACATTTAGTTTAACTGTGGAGCTCCTTGCAAAACAGGCAGTGTAATTACAGCGAATTATACAGTAGTGTGTGCCGTTGTACTAGTCACTAAGAGTATTCTGAATGTCACCGAATGTCTGTTTAATATTCCCTTTATACTGGATCAAATGAGCTAGCTCTGTGTGTGACTAGGCCTTGGAGGGGGAAAAAGGCTGAAGTGAAAGAACACACAGTAATACATTTTCTATTTTGGACTCCTCTGAGAAACTGGAAGGAAACCACGGAAGGAAAAAATAATAATTGCGGTTGCTATTCCAAGCTAGTGGACTTTCAGAACCTGCACATCATCAGGAGTGACGGGATGGCAGGAAAAGAGCGTGTCAGATTTCACCGTGTTCTCCACAACACTTGACATTTCTGAGAGGTATGACTTATGTATATAAAGAAAATCTAAACATGACATATGAGAAGGAGAGAGTGTGCACCTCTGCTATGAATCTTGACATTGCTACAGTTAAAGTAATAGGTGGAATGACCTTTGTGTGAAGGTGACTTCCTGCTCACTGGCTGGTGTGTTTGCGTGTTAAATATGATGTTGCCAACGGGGCAGACAGAGAGCAGTGAGTGCGGGGATGGAGAGAAAAGAGAGCAGAATAGACGCTGGAGGAGTAAAATAAAAGGCAAGCCTACAAGACTATTGGCAAAAGCTTCCTACAGCTGGCCTGGATCTAAATGGGAGGAGGAGGCTGTAGAGGTGCTGTCATCTCTAAGACTCACAGACAGCTGTTTACTCCTTGACTGAACCAAGACTTACTCTTTGGTCTCTGAGGGAAGGCTGTTGTCCTTGATGCAAGCCACAAAAGCTGGCATTACTGCACTAAAGGCGTTACAGATGTGCACACAAACTCCCTCAGCCTCAGTGAGCAAATTCAAAGTCCATCTCCATTCTTCTTCCATTCTCCAGAATGTTCAAAAGCAGCCTGTTTTTACATGTTTTTGCCTTCCCAATTATTTCCTGCCACTCAAGAGCAAAGGACAAGTTGGGAAACATAGACAGTGTGGTTCTCCGATGCTTTGAAATGGCTCGTCTGATGCCCTTGTGGATGAGCCATTAGCAGCAATGCTTATCTTGAAAAGAAGCTGAGCAGTATCATCCAAATATCTCTGCATAAATGGGCTTCAAAGGGACATGATTCCTCAACCCTGCCACATCATAGAGAATAGGATAGTGGCAGAATGGAGAGAATGGAGTGTGAATTGCCCCCGCTGTCGATTCACCAGTCTTCAGCCTGCCTGAGCTGAGGGCTTTGCTGGATGGGGATCCAGTCAGGCCTGTGCAATGGAATTAATGGTAATACCCAGGCAGGTGGAGCTCAGCTCTGCTTCCTGGCACAGCAACCAAGGAGAGCTCCTCTGGGGGCGGGGGTATGTGTGTATGCTGTGTATTCGGAGCTTGCTTCTAGATCTTGGATGCAAGCATTGTTTATGCGTGCGAGTGTGTGCGCGTGTGCATGCATCACTGGTTTAATGGATGCTGGTGTACGTGTCTGAGTGTGTGCACGCTCATGCTGGGTGGAAGCCTTCCTCCTGATTAGAGCTAGAGTCTCAAAGTGCCAAATGACAGACTGAGAACACACACACAAACACACACATGCACACACCTATTTTTCATCAGTGGGAGAGGGCCGAGGCAGCAGTGGTGCGAGTGGGGGACGGCTGCTCTCTGCCGAACACTGGGCACAGTACCTCAGCACCACTGCCATGTTCCACCTGGGAGATTTAGCTCCTACACAGCCTGACTTCCTCTATTTACATGGCCACCTTTATCTAACAACAGCAGGTAGTTGATTGAAAGCTTGCACAGCTTTTTTACAGTGCAATAACAGCCTCTGTAAAATTGAGTCTTGATTGTGGGCCGATGTAAATCACAGCAACTTGGCCGGCACGCTTGTGTTGCTGGAGGGAGTGTTGCGTAGAATTTGAATGCACTTTGGGGGTGCCAGGGGGCTGACTGTGGCTCAGACAGACAGGCGGACACACAAAAGGAACAGATAGAAAGTTGAAGGGAAAGATTGGTGGAAAGGATGCTGAGAGGGAGAGCCTGTGGGACAGCCAGGGGACCGAGAGAGATATAGAGTTTTAAAAAAGGTCATTATATTACTCGCTATTTAATTTTGCCTATCTCCAGGTCTTAGTAGAATGTTTTTATTGGAGCTTTTTATTGTGAATTTATGTATCGCTTGTCCATTACATATGTCACTTACTTTTGAGAAACCCTTTATTGTTCCAATAAAACGAATTTAAAAGCGTGTCTGGAGGGTTATAACAGGAGGGTGGCTCAAATATGGTGGAGGGAGGGATGGAGGGAATAAGCCCAGGAGAGACAGACTGCCAACTGAGACAGCATGGTAATGTTGGGATGAACAGACTGAGAGATGGAGGGGGTTAGACACAGAAAACAGACAAGACGGCAGCTCACTGGACTGAATGAGAATATGTGGATAAGAGATGCATCAGCTGAAGAGTGAGAGAGTGGGAGTTCTGCTTGTGCTTTGATTCTACTTGGCTTTTAACTTGAATACAAATGTTTGATTTTCATTAGTAATGTGTGCAGCACATTTACTGTAGACAATGAGACTGCTATTACTCGCTATGACAGTACAGCCAACTGTGAGAGCAGTAGTATGTAAGACTAGAAGGACTTTGTAGTTTGTGCAATGCACTCGGCCATCCTTCAGCGTTAAGTATTTTTCTCACAGAGGTAACAGTGCTCTTTGGGGACAGTTACAGAGGGCTGTCACTAAATGCTAGAATCATGTTATTGGCCATGACACTTCAAAACAAAGACATTCAGCAGAACAATGAAAATCTTCTGGATCATGTTTAGGGATTGATGGCCAACTCTGTCACACATGCATTAGTTACAGTGCTGTGGCAGAGATTCTGCTGGGACCGTATTGTGCTTCTACGGTGATGCTCTGTAAATAGCATTAGTCGCGCTCAGTGAAGAATAGACTTGTCACATTTTCAGTAAGACTAGTCTTGCACAACAGCTTGGAGTCCAAGCCTCTGTGAGCGCATGCAAAGACTTGCCAGACAAAGGGATCGGCACTTGTCAGCAATTTTAAACGGACTTAGGGCTACATACACTGACGCATGTGGGCTTGCTCGAAGGAACACAAACAATTCACATGCACGCTTATATACATACAGTCAAGCTGAAAACTGAAGGCAATTTGGCTTCAGTTGCAACAGCTCGAATGAAGAAACACCTGTGTGTCAAAGTGGTGCCATGGCAACGCTTCCTGTTCAGTGGTCAAGGCCAGCGTCAGCTTTCGTTCTGAAAGAAGAGCCAAGAGGCAGAGAGGAAGGAGTTTCACTACAAAACCCGTAAACATCTGGGAGGAAGCCTGGACGCCACAGGATGAAATATCCAATGCACGACCCACAGCGAGGCCGACATGAATTAAGCCAATGTACAACTCATATAAGTGAGGGAATATGCCAACTTGCTGTGACATCTCAGCTTCCCTGCCAAGTAACGAGTCCATATGCCCTAAACAGGCGGTAAGGTCCCAAGCAGCTTTTCTCCAGACATACAATCTTGCACACCAAATATACACATAATGTGCAAAAATCCCATCTGTCCATACCGAACAGTATAAATTCAGGGCTTTACCTTGATACCCGACATCAGGCTTGCATCACCTGCTCTACTGTGGCAAAGGAAGACAAGGGCGGGGCGATATCAAGGGTTTGATTTAGATTCAGAGACTTAAGCCGTTTCTGTTGCAGCACAAGAATCGTCTCTCATTCTAATCTCGGCAAAGATCCACCCTGAGCCAGGAATATCCCAAGATAAATATGGAAAGTGAACAATGCGATTGCTGAGCAGCAACTTCCCATTTTCTACACCTCTCGCCTCTAATCCTCTCCGGCAGCACTCCTGAACTGCCGCTCCTCATCTAAATCTGCTGGTAGACCCAGAGAACAGTCTGATATTATACTGCTGCTTCACTTTCCCTCTGCCATTATCACCAGAAACACAGCGGCTGGCCACACCGTACCACTGCCTCTGCCCTTGTAATAACAGTTGCTCCAGTCACTGTGAGATATTAAAATACAACCCGGACTTGGTTATCTAGACAGCTACTACAACCGATCTGACTCTGAAGCCAAACACTACTCATCGGCTGGATGTTGATACCCAGAAGACCTCACATTCACACACACACACACACACACACACACACACACACACACACACACACACACACACACACACACACACACACACACACACCCACACACACCCACACACACACACACACACACACACACACACACACACACACACACACACACACACACACACACACACACACACACACACACACACACACACACACACACCAACAGTTGATTAAATACAACATTGTTCTAAAGATTGTAATGTGACAGGGGGTGCTTAGTGGTTGCAATTGCAAGTAGAAAAACAAAGATAAATCAAACAAAAAAACATGAATGATCTGAAAACGATGACATTGTTTTAATAATCATGCACCATTTTTGTTCACCATGGAAAATACCTTCATCTTCATCACCGTCGTTATCCGATAAATCCTCGCCCTGTTTTTTTGCATGGACCCCTGTTATTGAAGCAGGGAGAGACATAGAGAGGCACAGGGAAATTCAAAATAGCATGTTTGGCAACACACAGATGGAAAAAGAGGCAATTTAATTCAAAGCAGTATTTGAGACCTTTGTGATGAATAAGAATGTTGACTCAAAAACACAATTCCCAGCAAAAAAAGGCATTTCTTGTTATGCTCAAGTACAATAAGACAAAAAATGCCATTTTAATAGTATAGACATTTGAAAAGACTACACTGGGTACAAAAGAATCAAAACAACCCTTGCAAAATGTAACGTAAACAATAAACACTTTTATAAGAGCATATTTGGAGCAGAGTCATACACCATTGGCATTTCGAGTAAAACATGTTTAGATTGATCAGACATAAAGCCCTGAATTATTTTGCGTATCAAAACCCTTAGCTTAAGAGACTGCTGTAAAAATGAACAGCTACAACATTCAACTCGAGGGGTTGTAATTGCATTTTTTAAACGGCTTTTTGAACAGGGTTTTAGTGTGTTTAAACAAGTCTTTTGTGACTTTATATTCCCTCCGGTAACTAACGTCAATTTCTAACTTGGACATTGAGTTTAAGAGACCATACAAATGCTAATACAATTATATTAAAAATAAATGTGGTTACTGGCAAGTTCAAGAATAATAAAACAAAAATCTGTTAAAAGAACCACGTTTTTTAACTTCAAGCAAAAGCATGTGCAGGGTGGAAACTTCCCTGGAGGAGGTAGAGATTTTAATAAATCAGAAGATTGCGTGTATTATATATACTCAGTGATGTGTGCAGCTACTTGTCTCTTTGCCCTGAACAGTAGGCAGTATGCTGTTGTCCTTGTGCTACATGTTAGTATGGAAATCTAGCCCTCTAGTGAACGAACCTTATCTTGACCTACTACTTAGTTGTATTATAGACTGGTTTGTGTGATATCCATGTATAATCACTTTTTAAAGCCTACACCAGCAGAGCCTGTTGATACCAATGCTGCTTATGGAGTAGGCCAATCTTAACATTCCATCAAATCAACAATCCATCCTTTTCTGACATGAATTTTTTTTTTAAATGTTGTATTTCAATGTTTTAATTTTGGTGGTACCCTGACCTTTTATGTAGCAACACAGTCAGATCAGATTTTCCTCCCGAGCCATGCTTGACACAGTTAATCCTAATGTTTCAGTGACCTTGAACTGTTCCTCTGGTGCAATCACTAGGCCTCTATGAATACAAGTTAATATCAAAACAAAATGGCCTGACTGTAAAGGAACTTTCTTAAAGCATTCATGATTTTCTTAAGATTCTTAGCGTTTCCCAGAGTGTTGAAAAAAACACCTTATCTAACATCATGTGGCTTTTCTTTTACGTCATCTACTGAGTGCATTGATCATGAGATCAAGATACATCCAGCTGCTTCCATGGATAAATCATTTCCTAGGGGATAACCATGGTCTATGTACACTTCACTCTTTCTCTACCCTTAGGCTTGATTATAAACCTTATTCTTCAAGACAACTAATAGCCTGTGTATCATTGCATTTGCTGTGAGTATTCATGATCTACAAATAGGAACATTCTGGGATTTTTTTTCTTTTTTCTGGATTGCTAGTCACATGAAGCCCTCCCCAAAGGATCATAATGACAACCGCTACATTTAATATTTCCCTAAAAGTCTCTAAGAGTCTTCATGTTGGCAAGCCAGTCAGTTGGGTGGAGTCGGACGCGATAAAACCCTCTTGGGCATAGGCTCTAGTTAAATAGCTTTTATTTGAATGAATGCACCGGCGTGTTTGAACATCTCATCCATTGTTAATTGATAGATGCAATATATTGCATAATGTAACAGGCTGAGTGTCGTGACATTTACCAAGTACATTCAAGCTCTTAAAGTGCAGAAGCCTTTTAAATGTGTTGATTCCACAGTCAGTGCATTGACCTTGTTCAGTCTAACAATTGTGCGTGATGAATAATGCAATCTCTATGGGCTGCTATATCAGCTTTAGACAAGCAAACCACCATATGACTAAGGCAACTTATTGATGTTGCATCAGCAAGTTGTTTGACGGTTGGGATTTAATTAAGCCATAAGAGAGGGTAAAGTGAATGGCTTGCCAGGTGTGGCAGGCAACTTTCTCCTCAGTCATTTACTAATGTAATCAAAATGTATAATCAATTAACAACATACAATCTAAAATACTTAGTTTGCATTTGTTCCCTTGAATTAATGGCAAGCAAGCGAGAAAAGGTAGAAATCCATCACATGGATTGAAGACAAATTGGTCCTTGTTGTGGCACATCAACTTCAATACTTCGATTAAAAAGCAACTTTGGTTAAAATAGCTTAAAGTGAGTGGTTTCAGATACAGGACTGGATTTTAAAATTCTGGATTGTTTAATCTCTTGGTGCAACAATCCCCCAGCAGAAATCTAGCTTTCACATTACAAAGTAATCTAATGTTGGTTTGTTGTATTTGAATGTTGCAGCAAAAATTGAGGTCGTTTTTCAATCCCAACATATGAAGCCCTCTGCTTAGGGGGATCTCATTGAAGTGAAGGAGACTGCATTGTTCTAGAAAGTGCTGATGTCTAGAAATGCCACTGAACAGTTTACGACAGCACCAGGTCAGTCAGATGCATCATCCTTGCGTTATGAAGTGACTGCCATTAAGCTATCAGATGTCAAGCCTCTCTCATATGGGCTTCAAAAACGTTTTAGCCAAATAACAGTCAGCAGCCCGGCAAATAAACATGCTTCACCTGCTGAAACAGCCTTTTGTATGGCTTGTTAGCGATTAAGGTTATTGTAGTGCTGGTAAAACAGTGATGCTATTGAGTGATCGCGCTTCAGACAGGCAAAGATTAGATGGTAGGTGTCGACAGGGAAGCTCTGTCACTTTGAATCTTGCTCTCTGTGAAACTGTGTGTGTCAGACGCTGGATCTATAACAGGCGCTTCAAACATTTGACATCCTCAGTGACTCAGCATGTGAGCCTATATTTGACCTTGAATCTGATAAAGCGATGCCACAGCGAAAGAGTGACACGTTTAAATTAAACAACAATGGATTGATGAGTTTCTTTGCGTAGCCGGCCTCCAGGAGTCAACATTTGCATCTTTTGAAAACAGGTTGCATCTACAATAACAGCTTTTATTCATGTTTCTCGACAAGCAAAATAGAAACCTGTCGTATTTCTCAAATCAGGTTCAAAGAAAACACCTTTGATGGGCTGATTTGTTACGTAAATGCTGCATAAAATGTAACAATTCAGCAGGTTGGAATTGCAAACAAAAGATAGTATGCTAGTAGGGCTGCTCGATGATGGCAAAAATCATAATCTCGATTATTTGGGTCAATAATTGATATCACGATTATTAAAAACGATTATCCATTTACTTTGAAAACATCAATTTGTTGGAGAAAAAACGTGAATATTATGTTTTTAACAGTTGATTACCCTGAACATTAAGTTTAATTCAACTGAGAAAAAAAAAAAAAAGTAATAAAAAAAAAAAAAAAGGTAATAATAATAATCCTTTTATTTTTATTACGTTGTTTTCGTAATCGTTGCAAGCCATAATCGTAATTGCGATTAAAATACGATTAATTGAGCAGCCCTATATGCTAGTTGATTGTATTTTTACATGAATAACCCCAAGCATGTTCACGCACACGCACACACAGAAATAGACTGCTTTCAGGCTCTAGAGACTTCTTCACTGAATCCAAAATTCACTCAATACATCGCAGAAGGGCTGAATGTTAACTGCCTTTCCTTTGCTGGAAAAAGGTTTGCTGACAATAGATGGGCCTTAGAGTTAAATATCAGAAAGGTCAGAATGTGGAAAGGGATTTAGTGAAATGTGAAATGTTGCAGCCTTGACCATTTGGAGCAGTTATATTCAGTCTCTAATCCTCAGGTGGCCATTTTTCTCTTTCAGAGGGCCCGGATCACTCTCTCCTCCTGTCTTCCTGCTCTGTGTCTCTCTTTCCGTCTGTCTCTCTCCAGCTCTCTCAGTCATTCTCCCAGTCTAGAGGTTAAGGAACAGCTTGGGAGGGACACATAAGAGAGAATGATGGAGAATGTAGCTAAAAGGTTAAGGAGGCTGTAATCCTGCAGTAAAGGACAGCCAAAACTCACACTGTGCTTCAGCTGTTCCCAAAATAAAAAAACAAACAAATAAAAGGCAGCCAAGTTGTCTTTCTGCCTGTCCAAAGCTCCATAATGGAAAGAGACATGTTTAACACAGACCGCAGGCTTCTGAGTATGGTGGCAGCCTAACACACTGAGGTCTCTTACCTCGGCAGCGGATCCTTAATGAACCATTTGTTCTCCTTATTAGGAAAAAAAGACTATGCTGCACAAATATCTTAGAAAAACTATCAAGACTCACCAGGCTTCAGGCTTCTTAATCTTCTGTAAGACACAGCAGTCAGTAAAGTAACTGCTGCACCACAGTTGAATATGCATAATTACTGATTTCAGATTCATTCAAAGCCTTTGAAAGCCAGAACAATGCAGGTATTTAGCCTTTAACACATTGGAGGCAGTAACACACCAAGAAATGTGTCAAAACATCCCCAACGGCAGTAAAGAAGAGAACTGTTAGCATTCAAACCTGATTTGTGCTGCATCTTTACAAAGGTATTGTGAGGAAGGAAATGCACGGAAAACATGTGGTGAATGATTAAATCCAGTTAAAGGAGACATTCAAGTTCAAGAGCACACGTCTAATAAAGCTAATAAAGATACCGGAAGTACAACATCAATTGTGTTTTCTCCTTTAACACAGCTTCCACAGGCTGTGTCCTCAATCCCTCTTTGTTTTGGGATAAACAACAAACAGAACTGAGATATTGAGCCCTGGGTTGACCGTGGAAGCTGGACAGCTCAGCAGCAGAAGGCTTCTGAATAGGCACTTCCTGATTAGGTCGCGTCTTGCATCTCAAGTCAGTGTGTGACTGTATCTGCTGTTGGCTGGGTAGCCTACACTCACTGGGGTCACAAACTGTGCCATATAGATGGTCACAGAAGATTATGGAAGTGATTTTCTGTCAAATAGCAAAAGCCAATATTTGTTCTTTTCTTCTTGGAAAGTTTTTGTGCTGTCTGCTTGGCGTACAGATTTTCTCGGCAGCACCCCCTTCTTCCCCGAGGCAGGGGTGAGTTGGCCAACGAACGGGATTACCATGGTGTGTAACTGAGCGCCATGGCCTAGACGCAGGCTAACCGGGATCAGGGCTCCTTTTCCAGCTTTCATAGCGCTCTAGCATCTGGAGGTCATCCTGGTAAGAGGAAAAAATTGTCTAGTGTTTCTGTTCGGGTACTTAATCTACAGGTTTGGCAACTGATAGGGCTGCTCAGTACTGGCACTGGTTCTATAACACATGGCAGCCTGCTGCCTGTGAGGGCTGCATAAGAATGATAGTTAAGTGGTCCAAATCAAGCCAAAGCGTACAACAGATTCCACCGCACATATCTCAAATAGACTCATGATGAGGCATGCATTTAGAAGTCAGGACGGTTGATCTCAGATATATCTCAGAACTGTGATATACAGCGAGAGCAGTGTGAAGGACCCTAAGGACATTATTTACAAGCGGGATGTTGTAAAACCCCGTAGAAAATAATGCTCGTATTGTATAAACAGGCAGCATGCAGCACAGTGAGTGCTCCTTATAACCTGCAAAACGCCTCAATGAGGATCTCATCAGAAGGATGTGAATTTATAGATCTCTTTTTACAGTTTGACAATCAGTTGTACAATGTAAACCTCTTTTAAAGAAGCGATTGACCTCATAAGGCTTTGTCCTCACAAAATGGACCCATCTCGAGCCAATCTAGCACTCTGAGGCTGAATAGTGCTTAGCTGCACATCATTACCCCTCTCTTCACTCCATTCACTCTGACCGAGAGAAGAGAAAATGACTGAGTGATATAACCAAGGCTTACATGTCTGCTGCTATGTGCCCTGTGTGCACACTATAAGGCGACTTCAGAGAGAGGAGTGGGCTGCGATGCTGATCTTGCAAATTAGACTACCTGCTCAGACATCTTGGACACGCAGTGCTGCGCTAGTCTAGCTAAAGAAAGGACAGCCATTCTCTAAATTGCCTTTTAGTTGGTGTAAACATCAATTTGTTCCTGAACAAAGACCAGTGGGCTGTTGATTTTGCACAGCCAAAATTAGCTGCACAACAATCCAAGCTCTGAACAAACGATACTGAATATAGGAACATCTACTATAGAGCCTTCCATTCTTTTTTTAATGAGTCTCTGATTATTTGTCAGGGCACGACTGTGCAGTTTAAGGGCTTTCACCCTGTTTAATGAAGGAACATGAGCTACATATTTGATAACAGCACAATAAGTGGTTTCCCTGCACAATACCCAGTAGGATGCTAATAGCACAGGATCTGAAAAGCAGACTTCCTTAATAACTCTCAAACTCTTGTAAAACAAGATTTTGTTCAAGTGTATTCGTACAACCATACCTCTAATTCATTAAAGGGTTATCTAGATGTACACAAGCTCCAGACTGATCAAATGGTAACATACTAGCCTCCTGTCTTGTATGTAACAGGTGGACGAAGTGATAATGGCATCACCAATGGGTTTTCGGATTTAAAGCTTTAGGTTAAAATAAACTGCAACAAAAATCTCAAAATAAACTTAAATAAACTAAATACAGACTGAAATAATGTAATGATTAATGAATATAGATGACAAGGTATCCACGCGCTAAACGATGTTTCTCTGAATAGAAACATGCAAAGAAAAAGAAAACGTTAGACTAGATACTTAGATAACAAACTCATCACGAAAATGTGTACGGAGACAAGTAAACTATAAATAAGTCATTTTCTTACAGATTTCTACACAATGTTCTATCTATCAACTTCTTTTAGACTCCTGGATAATAGAGAGAATGCAGGTTTAAGATACTTCTTTATTGGCTTCTCTTTTTAGACCCGGAGGTTGTTGCTTGCATAAAATAATCACTATTGCTACAAAGGTGCTTCACGCTAGGTAAGATAGCCATTTCCTCCGCTACAGTCACAACTGCATACTGTTGCTTGGCAACAATCACACAACCATTTAATCAGAAGTCAAATATCATACTTCTTTGTGTAAGTTAATCACTCTCTCCTCCAGAGGAACCACATTCATAGAGATACAGATTGTAAAATTGGTAGTGAAGGTGTTATTAGTACTGAATATGCACGGTGTGTATGACTCTACTCCATTAAACAGGTCTCTATTGAAAGCATCGCAACACTTTAAATATACTTTTAAATATATACCCATTTTATTAATACCAATTTTATGGAAGATATCTAACTGTTGAAATGGCACTAATTAAAAATATTTAATGGGGGGAGTGATGATGAACCATTAAAGTGTTTCCCAATTCCCTTTAAATTTGTCAAACATGACTTTAACTTCCTCGTTGGAAACATTTAACAAAAACAAGAAAGTATGCTTCAGAGCTTGCTTGCTACATTGCCTAGGAAGGATAAATGATGCTTCATTTGCACCGCTAATTCAACATAAGCCAAGATTAGTAGAAAGCAGTGTAAAAAGCGGTGCAATTGAAATAAAGAGAGTTTCCAGCCAGACTGAAAATTACAACCTTTGTGTTTGTGCATTAAGAACGATGCAGCAATCATTTTTATGCACAATAATGTGTCACAAAACCAACATATGAAACTTATGATAAACCATTTTCTCATTACCAGACATGGGGAAGATAATTGAAAAATTCCACGTGGAAGGGGAATATTAAAGAGATATTTCTGTGTATATTCCACAACTGGGACTAATTCAGAAGCAGAAGTGCCTGGAGGGCCAGTCTGTCTCTAACTAAATTGGTTTACCAAAGCAGAATGTACGAGAGCACCGAGTCAGGCCAATAGCTGCTTCCTGCCTCCATGGAAATCAACAGCCGAGGTCTCAGCTGAAACGGAATCTTTGCTGTGGAGCGAGGTATGCTCAGGGTCAGTCTTCAGGCAACTTGTAAGGTCTCCTAGTGCCTTCAGGCAGGCTTAGAGATTGATCCCTCTTTTGTTATCAACAGAGACTTTAGCTGTAGCTAATGAAATTGGGCTGTGTCTCTCCATGACTGTGTGTTTTAGTATTTCCCACATGGATGGATGAAAGCTGTCATGCCAATAAAATACCCCACCAACCCCCTATTAGAACAATTGTGAATCATAAATGTAAGACAGAGGTGGCCCTCCAGATTTGAGTAGAAATGTAATCAACGGCTGAGGCTCTGACGCTTTCAGGTGTCATGTTTGACAAATACTTCCAATAAGCTGGTGTCCTTAAGTGCTGTCAGAGCAGTCTGAAACATTACTTAAGTTTTTTGCATACCAAGTCGAGTTTTATCTTGTAGTATTTCAAAGCGGCACTCATGCTTCTGATTTAATAAACCGTTGGATTTAAACAGTATTCCACTCTGAACATGAAAAAGCCATACAATCATGTAAAATAAATAAAATACATGTTATTCTTAGACATCATGATCTACTGCTTGACAAAGCGTCATTATTTATTTAGGGACTGGCATGTTCATTGCCTCACACACTCTTGTAGTAAAACCACAATTCAGCACGCGCACACACACACACACACACACACACACACACACACACACACACACACACACACACACACACACACACACACACACACACACACACACTCTCACGCACACACACGCACACATCTCTTACACTCATGTCAAGGTTGATCTGAGTCACGAGTCCCACGTTCATCTCAATTAGCACTTTGATTTGGGAGTTGATAGGTGGTGATATTGTCAGCTTTGGAAGGATGCACCCATCACTCCTCCCCTTTTCACTCTTTCAATTCCTTTCTTTCGTTCCGTGTTGTCTTTCTTTTTTTTTTTACATACCTCCTTTTCTACACATTTTCTTGTTGGGTTTCCTGGCACATTCCTTGGATATTCTTTTGACTGTAAAATGAATGGAAAAACTACAAAATAACAGAGAACTCTGGAAAAGATTGCATGTGACATGCAACAGCTCAGACTGAGTCAGACCCCCCACCTTCACCCTCTTCCCTCCCCATCCCAGTCATCATTAACAACAAGAACAACAGAGGACCTGTTGAGAAAGTAACTGGGGTGTTGCTGCAGAAATATTCCAAAATGGTAGAATGAATTTGCTGCATCCTGGGACACAGGAAGCCCATATTCACATGCACTTCTATTTAAGACCCATTACAGCCACACAGCAGGCAGAGGGGCTAGATTTCCAACGTTTTGCGGTTTGCATTGTAATCTGATAAGTGAAAGTGTTATTTGACATTGCACATTTGATTCTCAGAGCACTTAACATTTCAAGCCCATTTTCTTCCTGTGTGTGTCTCCTTAAAGTGGCAAAAATAATGGGGGCCATTAAAAAGAGTCAATATCTAGAAATCTTAGTCAAGGTGGAGCCCAATCTATGTTTGCCTTTTGCACAAAACCTGGTTTGAGCTTTGTGCAAGGACAAACTGGATAAAGCAAGGAGAGTAAAGGGTCTTACATAGGTCAGGCTGATGCCACAGGCCTCTCGTGTACCAGACAGAATATTTCACCAACCCTACAGTAGTAGATCATTCACTTATGAGGCAGGCTACAAATGACTAATGGCTAAGATCCCCAGAACAGTCAAGACAGTGAGGGTAGGAAGGTGCACCAAGTATTTCCAATCTGTTCCTTGTATGATTAGATTTCTTTGTTTTTTTTTCTTTTTTTATTCAGTCATATTAATAAGTCATTAAGTCATCAAAAGAGGAACCTCTAACAGTGGCATGGAAGGGGAGAGTTGATGAAAAGACTAAATGAAAGACCAAGTCAAGATGGGAGGTTGAGATGATGGACACGGACACGGCATGCGCCAGACAACAGGTCATGCTCAGCGCAAAACACAGAGGTGACCCAAAATTAAAGAAGAAAGACAGAGCGAGAAGGAGGCAGAGACAGAAGAGTAGGAGGAAAAGTTGGGCCCTGTTTACTCCACGCACTCACCATCCTCAGTTGGAACATAGATGTTGAGATAAAGACAATCTTCGTGTTGATCCTGTATGTAAGTCGTGACTATATCCAGGTTGAAGGTGAACCATACAGGCATCATGATCTCTGGCACAGCGTTGTGAATATTTTGTGGGCAGACTGGAGCAAAGTGAGTGGCGTTCTTGATCCCTGACCAGGAGGAAGGGGGCTCCGGGGGCATGAAGCGCTTTTCTCCCACTGGGGACGCGGCGTATGGGACCCCCAGATACTGGTCCACGGGCCCCAGAATCTCACTGGGCAGGGGCACCCTTACCCCTCTGAGTTTCCCATACTGCGTGTTTACAGTTGGGTGGTAGTTCTGACCTCTCACGGCCACAAAACACCAACAAAAGCTCAACACCCACAAGGACACATTGGTGCAACTGTGGGCACTGTGCCAGTTCTGCGAGGGGAGACGACTTCTCCTTGGAGAGAACCACATGGTCCTTGTGAGCGAGTGCAACTGCAAGTGACCAACATACAAGCCGGGGCACCCCCCTCAGCAAAAAAAAACGTCCCGCTCAGCCCTGCAGTCCAGCCACCTGAGGGACAGTCATCAGCTGCGATACTGGAGCCCGCCGACTTACAGACGAGGAGAAACGGTCACAGATGCCTCTCCGCACGGAAGTCCTCATTCACCGTTCTCTTCTATCTTCTATCCTGTGCTGCAAGAGAAGAGGACAAGACAATTAATGACATCTCCCTGACAGCCCACCGGTTCAATCCCATTTTATTCACTCATTTTGATTGACTTGTGGAGTCCCTTTCTGGCATGACATAAAACAGCTCACATAAACATGACAGAGCTCTTTCTGTTATCATCAATCCACAAATTCAACCTGCCTTTAGCTTGATATTGCAATTAACTGCTGGGCAACTTCTCAAGATGTGCGTAATAATTCCACTAGGACAAGTAAAATGTGAAAGGCATCAACTATCAGTGGGTAATTAATTATTCTTTACTTCAAAGGCCAAAATGTATAGATAGATGGACAATTTTTCTTTACATCTGGCTTAAAACAAATGTCAGATGTCCGTAAGAACACTAAACGAGGTTTTGATTGATGTTATCATTCCTACTGTTTATGCTAAGCTTTAACATACCATCTCTCATAATGCTTACAATGGAAGTGATGGGGGGGGGAAATTGCAGAAAAATTAATTGCAAAGTTTATGTGAAGCTGATATGAGGCTTCTGCAGTCGGAGTCAAATCAAGTGGGTATCATCCAGAGTTACATCCTTTTGAGTTTAACTTTTACCAAACAGTGTTCCTCTGTTTAGATGCAGTACAATAAGTAATAGTAGTAAAAAAAAAAAAGGGATTTTGCAACCAAAAAAAACTGAGTGGTGAGATATTTTAAAGGCCTGTCTGAAAGTAAACACAGATTCTAGCCTGCAAAGCCTGTACAAAATGTATGGACAACAGACAACAAGGAAGTTGTGAACATTTACTTTAAGATTAGTTTCATTTACTAGGAAAACATAACTAAAATCCAAGAGCAGGAGTCATACACAGAAACATAAGAGCATGATAAAAATGTCATGCCCGGCTTAATGTCATGCAGTCTTTTCCCTACACCTCCCTTCGGTAGAGATATGAACAAGATACAATTTAAATGTAATCTCCCCTGTTTGCAGTTACAAGAGATCTCTTTTTGGGATGAACAGGAGAAGAACCAGAGGAGGATGAGGCTACAGGCTGCACAGCTAACTCCAATGACATTGCTTAAAATGCTAATAAAGAGTCCCATGGTGATCCAGTGGTGTCAGGGACAACACCTTCCCACACTGTCTGATCAATTTTCAATTTCTGTGGCTAAAGGGTCCCCCTCAGCCTTGTGCGCCTACTGCAGTATTCATTCTAATAACAATGGAGAAGAAAAGCCAGCATTTAGAGGAGGATATTGCATTCCAAAATGACTGTGTAAATGATTTATAATGTATCACAAGCTGTTGGAAGGCCACTAACCACTGAGAGAAAGCAATCCTGACGTTCCTGGAGGTGCTGTTACCGCTAGGCAGCTTTCCCTATTTGCGGCAGACATGGAGCTATGGAGAGCCTGCCTGTGGAAGTTGTGAAAGTCCACCGATACAGTACATTTTGTAAACATGTCAGGTAAACCCACTCTCACTGAGGCCACACCACTTGCATGTGTGTGGTGGACAATTCGGCTCTGGTGCAGTGAGCACCTGCTAAGTGATAATACATGAAAAGCCATCCATATCCAATCTGGGGACTAAAAGGCATGCATTGCTGGAGGCTAAGGGCTTGCAAAGGTGTCAACATTTAGAAGAGTCAAGCTAACAAAGTCCCTCACTGCTCAACGGGATTCCTTTCTAGCAGGAGCTGAAAACCTAGCAGATGACTCTGCCATATCCAAAGACTATGAACTATATTGTTGAAAGTTATTCTATCCTGTTTATTTTTCATAAAAGACAAGTGTAAAGTATTGACCAGTGCTACATACCACAGCATTTATGGGCTCAGCTACAGTGAAACACTTGAACCTAGGTGGACCTTTATCAGAGTACAAACCGCTCAACAAATAACACCTACAAAAACATATATTAACTATTTAATTACATTACATAACAAAAACTTCCACATAAGTTATACGATTCAGCTTTTGTTAAAAAACTATTCTATAAAAGTGTTCATCAAACGTAATGGTCATTTAAAAGGCTGTATTTGATGTGCTGTTTAATTGTATCGCCTTATACACAGAGATTTTTATAACATGTATTCCATCCCATTTATATTCACTCCACTTCCATCAATAAAACCTATTTACAGTATATCAGTGACAAAATATTGGAAACACCTGTCAGTATAATGCTATAAAATGAAATAGCCCCGCAAACTACAGCAAAATGACCGTTAAGTTGAATAAACACCTCTCCAAAACAGTTTCAACTAAAACTGAACATTAAAGAGTTGCAAAGTGAGAGAAGCTTTTTCAGGCGCCCCTGGTGCTGGAATTTCTCCCACAGCTAATATCACTTTACTCACATTTAGAGCTCTTCTATAGCGCGGATCAGCATGAAATGCTCCTGCTTAAATGATCAATAAATAACATTAAGAACAGGACATATCTGGCTCTTAGATAAAAGGTCTTGAATACATCCCTGGATACATTCAAACTTGGAGAGATGTTAATTATGGCTACCGAGGTGAATTCGAGCAACAAACATCAGTTCACTAGATTATATTACGTTAGGGATTCGACTAACAGGGGGGCCCGAATGGGCCTACCTGGAGGGGGAGGGGCGAATGCATGGGGTTAATCCCGACGGTTGGTTTAAGCTTAAGGCATTTTAGACTGCATAAATTAGCCTAGCGGCTAACAACCTGTTCTTTACACACAGCTCTTCTAATATTAGTTGATTTAAGTAACTGCATCTCCTGACAGAATACCGCGGGTACATTTCAGAATGCCTGCATGCACAGGTACAAGTTTAAAACATGTCGCACTGTTGGAGGAGCCTGTGACCTAAGTTTTTCATTGCCATTATCTACACTGTAGCTAATGTGCAAATGACAATAAAGCCTTGAATTGAAAACATGAATGGGGCAAAGCCTGCGAGCTAGTTCAGGCAGTCAACTCGAGCACTTATGCTGCATTCATACCTAACGCCCCTTGCCACTCTACAACCAACCAAACAGAGTCTCCTTAATATGCCGCTCTATTTAACCTGCCAGATCTCTCTCTATGCATTGCTTGCTGCTGCTTTGCTGCAGCTACCTCTACGTCGCTGCTGCTTGCCTGCCCCACCACCAGCTTCCACCCCAGCTTCCACCTGTAGGCTCGTTGTTAGTTATTTAATCATCACTCATCGTGCTATGTATATATATGTGGAGTGATGAGGCCCGAGCCTAGACGCCAAACTCAACTATATGCTGCTTCTAATAAACATGTTAAAGAAACACGGGAGTTGTCTGACTGAAATTAGGTAATACCTTTTTCAAGGAGGTGGGGGCTCTGGGGTTGGGGGTTAAAATTGCACTTCTGGTGGTTTATATTCACAGGTATAGCAATAGCATAGTATTGAACTTGTGATTGTGACTGGGCTCTTCGCCATGGCAACCGCTGCCCAGTTTTGAGACCTGTCGTCTGAAGGAAATTATGTGGAAAACATGATTTCTCAGAAACTACAACTAATAACAATGGATAATGGATAAAATAATAGAAAATAGTTAGACATCGAAGAGAGAGAAAATGGTGGGAAAGACTTTAGGCGAATTAGTAAACAAATAACACTGAAGAAGGTGTTGGATGACCTTTGTCTAAATGTCCTCTTAAAATAATGTTCAACTTGAATTGAAATTAATACAATTAATAATCAACACTGATTCCTTTAACAGAGAAATGTGACTTCCCAAGAAAAGTTTCCAAAAGGGCACCTTATTATTCACCATGGATACACGACTTTCAATTTCCAGTACGACTGAGGCCAGATATGTTTAGATCTGCAAACACAGCAGCAGAATAAGTGCGATAACACTAATTCTTGTCGAGATAAAATACATCAGGTCAACATTTTTAATCAGGACGTAGCAAGGACATAGGACAGTGTGATGGAGTGTGTGTGTTTAGAGGACACACAGCACAGAGGACTTCATCAGTCTCCCCTCCAACAGCATCTCAGAGGTCCTCTCGGCTCTGATCTCTCTACCTGCTGAAGCACTGCCAAGGGAGGAACAGAAAGAGACAGATTGCATGAGTTCTCCCTCATCATCCCAGAAATATTGATCGTCTCATCACCGTGGCCTTGCTGCACATAATAAATACAACTGTGCCGGTGATGTGGGCGGGGGGAGGATAGAGGGGCGCTGAGCTGAGTCTAAGGAAGGTTATTAGCCCTTAATGCAAGACGGCACTCCACGAGTAAAAGCCGTTAAACGCCATCCTCCACAATTCTTTGGCTCCTGATTAACAGGAAATGTTCATTTCTGCCAGTCCCATCCTACTTCATCAATATTCAAAAGCACCCCGACAGTACAACACGTGAGTTGTCCCCATGCAGATTCTGTATTTAGAAGAAAATACAGAGACTTTATTCCTCTTTATTTTGGTCGGAGCCCACAGCCGTGTAAGCTTAGTGTAGAAGACCCTTTGTTCTTTTACAGTGGAGAGATCTCTGCATTGCAATACAAGTATGAGCACAGAGCCAAATGTACTCCTACGCCCCAACATCCCTTAGAGAGAGGCTGAATGGACTCTGTTAAAAAAGGAACCAATAAAAGTTCTCAGTAGATGGAGTTTCTGACTCTCTCACCGCTCTGTTATTAGACTGCAACAAAGGCATTCACAAAGCTGCATTAGTCCTCCGGAACATCTAACTTCAAATGAAGTGAGCCATCCTGACCTGAGAGAGTGTAATCACTGATTACAAATGCTTCTGGTGCTGTTACATTTTAACAAAGGCTGAAAGTGCCATTATAGGAACGATAAGAGACAGGCAACAAGACAGGAAGCAGAAACCTATGTACTTGGGTGGTTACCTCAGCTGAACTCATTAAAATGTGAGAGGCAACGACATAACTTAATTTAGTGTCTTCACGTTCAATTTGTGTTCCAGAAAGTCTAAATCGGTGCTCCATTTTGAGACAAGCTTAGCTTACGTTAGGATTGCTCCCTGCCTCCTACTTGTCAATAACTCGGT